ATCATAACATGTAATTTTGGTGTAAAATATTCTTAGGATTATCTGAAAATCTATTTTTATATCTAATTATAAAATTTTAAACTCATAAAATGGTTAAAATCAAGTAGATCTATAAATATATGAAAATCTTGAAAATGGACGGTCTAAATAACGTATTGCAAGATGCACTATTTATGGGACTCAAAATCTTTTTTTTTTTTCATATTCATATATCTCAATTTCGAGATGATCAATTAGAGGGTTTTCCAACATGTAAACAACCTTTTACGATGGATTTCTTAAGTGCATCTTTGATTCTATATTTTAAGTTGCAACCTTATAGAAACTTTTTCCTTTTAGTAATAAACGAGGGAGTAAATACCCTTTTAATGACCATTTTACCCCTAGACTCGATATAAAGCTGTATCCTAATGGCGTGTTTGATATCTGGGGATGGTAGCATCTAGAGCCATCAATTTCGGCCACTGTAGTACTTCCTTGTTTGATAATAGGAAGCACTACATGATTGTAAGAAGCCACATCATCCTTCACTGTTTGAAAATGACATTGAAAAGTGCAACTGACAGTTTTTATAGAGGACTAATTCCACTTTCTTGGAGGACATGACTTCCAAAGCCAAACTTCTAAGAGTCAAACACACCATGAGGGCGCGCTTGATTTATGGGAGATGCGGTTTTGGAAGCCGCATCTTACAGTACTGTAGCACTTTCTTGCTTGATAATGGCAAATTTTTACAGTCAAATGGATACTGCAGTATTCACTTGTCTTATATTTAAAGCTAAAAATAGATGCCCCAATACCATGAGGGATCATAAAACTTAGGATATCCACTTTTCTGGAAGATGCATCTTCTAGGAATCAAATATGCCCTAAATGTCGAAATTGGCCTTTTAGAATACCCTTTTGTGAATAGATAGTTTGAAAACGACTTAATGGACTACGAAAAATCATCGTCCATTAGGTCATCGCCATCCATTGAAATGTTTGGAGGTAATAGATAGATTAGGATATGACCTGTGAGCATTCTCATAAACTTTTAGTCCTTTGTAAAGTAAACCATCATCGTGAGTTGCAAATATCTTTTGGCACAATCTAAGTAATTTGCCCATGTGAAAGTCAAATGTTTCTCGCTTATTTTGGAGTAAATTAGAGTATTAATTACTAGGGATTTTACTATTGAAAATGCATTCATATTTGAAAGCTTGACCTTGTGGCACTAACCTGCCCCTTGTATTCTCGCCGCTGACCTCCCAATACAAAACACAGAGAAAGGAACCTTGACCTCCCAATACAAAACACAAAGAAAAGTTGGAGTTTCAAACACAACAAACAACCCCACAACGCAAATCCGCCCCCCCCCCCCCCCCCCACCCAACCCTCCCCAAACCATCTTAAAAATGAAACCAAATGTTTTAAATAATTTGATTGTCAAAATCATTAGTAAATCCTAGAGCAAAGGGATGCCATTGCAGTTTCTTAGAACCCGATACGATTTATTTTATTTTATTTTTTGGGCAGTTCAGTTGTAGGAAATGAACTTGAGTTGCAGCACAGCATTTCTAAGCATCCGCTGCTAACCACTCGATACAAACTTGCATGAGCAAGCACAAAACAAGTCCCTAAACATACCCAACAACGAGAAAGCTAAATTTCGGCACTAACTAGAAATAATATCTCTGGCAGATGGTCTCAGATTGCCACCCACTTGCCCGGCCGGACAGATAATGAGATCAAGAACTATTGGAACACCTACTTAAAGAAGAAAGTATTGAAGCTTGATGATGATCATCTCAACTCCAACAAAGAATCCAAGGACTTTGGTGTGCCTGATTCTCATGCAATCGAAGAAGAACCGAACTTTCAGATCCCAAAATCAGGGTCTCGAACAACTCTTGACAATCTTGGAGATACAGACCAATCGTCGTCGTCTTGTTCAGGATTACACACCTCTCAAGAAATGTACTCGGCCGCATCGCTGGAGGACAAAGCCGGCTTTTGTTCTGCTAATTCAGTGAAGGGTTTTCCAGTGCCACCCAAGCTTCTGTTCAGTTCCTGGCTACAAAGTAACAACCTTTCCCAAGAGCCAAGGGCTATAGGAGACACAGCCTTATTTGGGGACTTGAATAATTTTAGTTCTTGTGAGGGCATTTTCGATAATTTTGTTGAAGGGCAAGGGTCAGCTTGGGATAGCGAGTATAGCTTTGGTGGGGAGACACAAAATGGGGCCTTTTGGATGCCATGTGAGATAGAGACTGCCAATTCCACTACCGGCATTTGTGACAATCTGTTGCCCAAGGACATCCCTGATAATTTCCTTTTTGTTCATGATCTAATTTAGGTGGCAGTGTAAAGTAAATGATATTTTATCAAATTAACTGTAAGAGATGAACAATTTAACACCTTACCCATATATTTTAATTGTAAAATAATGGTATGAGTGAGCTCCTTTTGGTAATATTGTTTGTAAAATGGTTGTATTATATAAGCTCATATTATTGGACCACCGTGCCTTCTCGGTTGGTTCCGGATCGGATACGAGTTCCTGTCGGGCGATTATCCGACTTTTTCTTGGCCCTTGCACGCTTCACTTTTCGCACACACCAACTTCCACTTACATGTGGAGAAAATACGTGCTGGATGACCCACATTCAGTCTCCCACTTTTTACAATGATAAATCAGGTGAGCTCGACTCACTCCTGCTGTAATGTGCCCGCCCCATCGCTTCGATGTGGGGCAAATGCGTCTATGTCCCCGACAAGGACATCGTTTTGTTTTACGAAAAATACGTTCCGACAATATAAAGAACAGCAATCAATTAAATTGCTTCTATAAATCAGGACATGAGATTGTGGTAATTTTCAAGGACATAAAATGGATCACACCATGTGAATACCCCTTCATGCCCATCGAATTTAAACTGTTTACTTGGTATCACCGATATAGGGCAAGCAGCGTTTTAAAAATCGTCGAGTCGAACCGGACTTGCCCTGTTCGACTCGGAATTCGCGAAAAGGGACCGGATCGTTTTAAAAATCGGAAATCGTCCGGTTCTAGAGAGAACCGGACGATTCCGCACAGTGACTCGCCGATTCACTGTA